TCCTTAGGATGAAAAAGTAGACAGAGGAGTTCAAAAAGTTCTGTTTTGTTATGACTTCAATGCATTTCATCATCACCAACTGAATATTCTGTCTTTTGCGAACATTTTGATATAAGTTTAGTAAGAATTAATTATTAGTTTTCATTTTTTTCATCCAAAAAGTTATTTTCTTCTGTTTACCAACTGTGAAGACCTCAAAAAGGTTATTATGAAGAAATATATCCAGTTCAAACTTGAAATCAAAGAAAAAAAGATCACATGAAAGGATTAGAGAAAACAATGAAAGAAGAAGTGATGATAAAGAATAAATGAAACAGGGGAAAACACATTAGAGGATGCTCAAATGGAAGAAAAAGTTAAAAAACTAAAGTAAGTCAACCAGTCAAATCAATTTGAAAAGAAAGCTAAAGATTAATAAATCCTAGGATTGGACAAGAATTAAATAGAGCAATAAGACATTAAATGGCTCTAGCTCAAGAAAAAAATAACATATAACTACAATTGAGGGAAATAAATGAAATAACCACTACCATATATGAGAAGTGATTAATTATAAATGAAATTCAAAGGTATTAATATATGCAATAACAAATAGATTGCTTAATAGTCATTGGAAATGTCACAAAAATTAAAGGCAAATTTTTTTAATATGCTTAACATAATAAAGTTTTTAACATAGTAATATCTTTAAATAGTTAAAATTAGCTAGATTGGTAAAATTGCCAATTTTATAATGCTGGCCTAAATTAGGGATCGGAAAAGATTCGATTAAAATCGAAACTATCGAAAATCGATAAGAATCGATTTTAAATCGAATCTCGAATAAAAATCGAATCTACTTATTGTGGCGCAGTTTCATTAATTTGACCGTAAATTATTATTTGTTCATAATAGTTAATTTTGGCCAAATTCATAATTCCGCCCGCGAATCACGTGACGGAACACAAACTTCCTAAAAAGGAAATTTTATCTCCCAATAAAATTCAAGTTGAAATCGCACAAGGTTGTACAAATTTCCAAAAAAGGAAATTTGTTCATCGATCACTGTAATTTTTGTAATCACGTGATATGTGTTTAAACACACCTATTATAAATAGTATAAAAAAAAATTGGTATTTGCGAAATGATTAATCGCGATTAATCAATTTTAGAATCGATTCTAATAATGGGAATCGATTCCAATCCCTAGCCTAAATATAATTTTATTAAAATTGAAAAATATAAATTAAATATAACATCTTATTTATAAAATAAGACTTTAACTTAAAGCAAAAAATAAAAACTTATTAACCATCTTTACAAATTTATTATAAAAAATTTCTTCTCAACTTTTATTATTCAACTTGGATCTTCATTTAAAGTTAATGTACTTTTTATATTAAAAATAAAAAAAAATAAAAAATTAGAAATTGATACTATTACAAATAATGCTGATTTCTCTTCAAGTATCACAGGTTGAAGAGGAAATAAAATGCTGACAAGTCCATAGAAATAGAGATTGCGCGTCCTTGCTGGGCGGAATGATATATTTTGAAAGATCAATCTTAACAACTGTGTCTTGAGCTATTCTCTCAAATGTCCTCCGCGTCTGCTTTTCTGCTTTGTTTCAACTGCAACCTGTATAAAAGATGTCCATCTCGGCTTCAGTCTTTTTCATCAGAGGAGTTGTAGTTTCCTCTCATTTTGGCATTTCTCAGTGAAGATTCTTCCTAGAGATGAAACATATTTGTGATTAATAAAAAATTTTTGTATCTTATAACTGATCGTGATTAACTAACTCATCTTTCTTTGATTTAATAATGGGTTATTTATTCCACTGTTGATCTCTTCATCAATTTCATCCTTCAGATTTTCATTTTCATTTATCGTCGATACTTTAAATCGCCCTGTTTAATGAACTCGAGCTGTTTTGTTTTGTTGTCCTCTTCTCCTTGTTGGAGGCTTTTAATTGAGAATAAGAGTGCTGAAGTTTTATATACAAGTAAATTGGACCCCTAAATACTAATATGGCTCATAAATAAAACCTCGTCTGAGCGTTTATAATAAATATGTGTGTATTATATAACATGTAATGCATAATGCATAAAACATTACTGTAAATTGAAAATTTTATATATATCATCTAACAAATCTTTTACTTTTTGGTAGCACTATACTGGTGCAACCATTTTTGTACTTGGATAACCATGTATTCAGTGCTTTCACAGTTATATACTTAAACTGATTTTTAATTTGTACGCAGTAAACCTTGATTAATTTGATATGACGTCATCATCTTTCTAAAACACTGGTATATCGTAGAATAACTTTTCCCCCTGATTCTTTTTTCTACTTGCTTTTTATGGCGTATTGTATCATCTAGCTGCTTTAATTCTTTATTTCTGATGACACCTTCCCGTTCCGCTATAGTCTTATTCAGCTCACGTGACTATGTGTTCACTTAGCTCAACCATCCTCGCAAATTCTTGTTATCTTTACCCAGGCATTTCATATTATCCACATATATTTTATAGCAACTTCCACGCTACTCTCTAACAATAACATTATTATCTCTACTGGTTACAAAGGCTATAGTATCAAAGACCTTTCTGTTCTCCATCATTCATTTAAATATCCATTCAACTTTATCATGAACAATATGTCTAATGTCCCATCCCTATATTTCTAAAATTTTGTGATAAAAACTCAAAAATGTCTTTATAGAAAGTATTAATGAACTCTTTTAGTGACAAATTTTGTATATTTATTATGTTCTAATAAACCTTTATAAATAAAAAATATATTTTTTTTTCTGCTAAAAATTTGGTCAGAAGATAGAGTTTCCCCTTACAGCTAATTCTTCACTATCCACCCAAGCATATGACGAATTAGTTAATATTGTCTGTCATCCCCAGTTTAGAAAAGATGACATTAGTTGACGATTTGACAGTTACCTTTACTTCCAATATATATTACAAATTCAGAAAATTAATATTTCTACCATCAATATCCAAAGAAACTGGGGAAGCGTATTACTTGTCCATTATGAACAATCCTTCATTATTAGGTAATATGTACCTTGGACCAGACCAAGAAGTTAAAAGAGCCAAGAACATCTCTTGAAGCATGTGCCTCAACGAAACATGAAACTGACACTATTAGAAGAATTGAGCTAGCATATGAAGATTTCAGAGACAGCTCTGTGTTACTTAACAACACGCCATCATTTTTTGCGTATACAAGCTTTGTCTTTGAAAAAGAAAAAGGTAGTATTATTACATATCAGGGATGTTGTATTGATTGATATTGAAAATAGTGACAATCTTGCAATTATAAGAGCAATATTTTATCATTGATTTATTGCATTTGTTGTCACTGACTGGTTTGAGAAATTAAATCGTACAATACTAGACTGTCCATTATACAGGTTACAAACTAGGAAACGAGAACCGTTGTAAGTCTGGAGCGAAAAACTAAAATTTGCGATTTTATTTGACGATAACGTGGTGGACAGAGAAATTCACGTGATTGATTTTTTTTCCATAGTGCGTAGACATATATTGTCCTTCGCTTCGCTCCAGACAATAACAAATACTAATAATTACTGAAGGATTTTCTCCATTAGTTTAGTGAATGTGATCAACAACGTACATTTCATTTATTGTGTAAAGACTAAAAATGTATCGAAGACGATCACAATTTGAGAAATGATTTGTATATGCGAAACTTATATTTTTTTCAAGTTGTTTAATGTTTATTAATTGTTTATTAACTACCGTTCATAGAACAATTTTTCATTTTATCTAAAATTTAGAACAACTGATTTGAATACAATTAGATTTAGAATAGGACACTTCATTTTTCTTAAAGTTTATAGACACTTACAATTTATTTGCAACATCGAAATTATAATATATACATTTAATGTAACTTTAATATATATCGAATACAATTTTACTATACAGTAAATATTTACTATACATTAAATATAACTTTAATATATTTTTACCGCACATTAAATATAGACTATTTCTATTTGTGCACTAATGTGCGAAACACATATCACGTGAACATATAAAATTTTTTATTGGCTAATTTTTTTCGATTTTATTAATATACACAGTGAAATTCGATAAACCGGATATTCGATAAACCGGATTTGGGCCTAAACTGGACTTTTTTGCTGGAACCAAATCATGTATATTAAAATAGGCTCGATATACCGGAGTTTACTAGTAAAAGCTCAATATTCGCTATAACGGATCAATTTTCTAACCAGCTATAGTAAAAATGATTCGATAAACCGGATCACGTGACTGAGAACCAATAAAATTTAAGTAACGTGATGCGGTAAATCTTAAATTTGGCCGGAATTATAAAAATCTTTATTCCGGCTGAAGTTAAGTATTACTTATATATTCAATTAAAATATTTTATATTCATTTTCATGACCTCTATAACTTAAAACTTCTGTCTCTTATACACATCTAGATGTGTATAAGAGACAGCTATAACTTAAAACTAGATGAAAAAATCAAATTATAGTGTATATTAGTTTTATTAGCATGAAAATTTTTTAAAAATTCAATATAATAGATTTTCAATATATCGAAATTTTTTCGCTAAACCGGATATCCCGATAAACTGGATATTTTTAGTGGAACCGATAGATCCGGTTTATCGAATTTCACTGTGTAATTAATCAATAAAACTTGACTTTATTAAATCACACTACATAATGTTTTGATATAAAGGTGTCATAATACATAAGGAAAGAACAAAAAAAAATACAATAAGGGAGGATAAAGCGAAAGATCAAGGGAGAATAAAGGAAAGAAAAGATCATAAATTAAAAAGATGAAGATGAACTAAAAGGAAAGTGATGAGAAAAATGAAATACAATGAAAAATTATGGTGAAAAATGAAATACAACGAAAGGTGACGATGAAAAATGAAATACAATGAAAGGTGACGATGAAAAATGAAATACAATAAAAAGTAATGATGAAAAATGAAAGGTAATGAAAAATGGTGATGAAAAACAAAATACAACGAAAGGTAATGATGAAAAATGAATAAAAACGAAAGATAATGAAAAATGATGATGAAACGAAATACAACGAAAAGTGATGATGAAAAATGAGATACAACAAAAGGTGATGATGAAAAATGAAATACAGCGAAGATGATGATGAATAATGAAATACAACGAAAAGTGATGATGAAAGGTGATGATGAAAAACGAAATATAATGAAAAGTAATGATGAAAACGAAAGATAATGAAAACTGATAATGAAAATGAATACAACGAAAGGTGATGATGAAAAATGAAATACAACGAAAGGTGATGACGAAAAATGAGATACAGCGAAAGATGATGATGAAAAACGATATACAACGAAAATTGATGATGAAAAACGATATACAGCAAAAATTGATGATGAAAAACGAAACATAGTGAAAATTGATGAAAACGAATGTAACGAAATTTGATGATAAAAAATGAAAGATGACGAAAGAAATGAGAAAAAGCAAAAGATGAATGAAAAGAGATAGATAAACAATAAAGGATGAAGGGAAATGAAAATGAATAAAGGAAAATAATAAAATAAATGAAAAGGGATAAAGGAAATAACAGGTAAATGAGGAGAAACAAAGGAAAATGAAAATAAATGAAACAAAGGAAACGAAAATAAATAAATGGGAAAAAATAAGTGAAAAAAATAAAGGAAGAACCGAAATATCCACCCATAAAAAAAGAAAAAAAAGAACTGGTTAATATTGTCTTGCAGCAGTCAGCAAAAAAATATAAAATAACTGAATGTAAAAGACTCACCTTGAATTTCTGCTGAAATGAAAACTGAAAACAGTCGCGTCTAAAAAAGAAATGAACGAGTTACAAAAAGAAAGGAAGAAAAGACTTACCTATTTAAAAAGACAGTAAAAATTAGTCGAAAATAAAAATAGGTGTGTGTAACATAGGGTGTATTTTTGTACGATCCGGTTAAATCAGGTGATGATCACCTTAATATGCGTCAACTTTATACATACGATTGACTTGAACGATGTGAGACCACATCGTGACCAAACCTTGGTTATAAGGCTTATGATATAATTTCGACTTGATCACGATATGGTTTTGATTTTAAAAGTTTCTGCAAAGTATATTTGATGGGTTAAAACTTAAAACCCTCTTCATATTTGAGTACGAATACAGCAACTTTTGTAGTTGTTAACAAGCCTGCAAGATAGTTGAGAAAATAATGAAGAAAAAAGACTTTATTATGTAAAAAATTGCATCGATATACCGTCTCCTTCATTATATACATTCTATGAATTGTTATTCCCTGATTTCACCGAATTCAGATGGAGAGGTCATAATAACCAAGTTTTTCAAACATCATAAAGTTATGAGAAATCTTGATCCAAGTGAATATTATGATTTGGAATACACTGAAACAGTCTGAATGTTCTAGCTCTGAGGACGAGAGCGAGGATGAATGCGTCTACTTGCAACACAGGACCTTCCCTATAAGTTAGTATTGACGACAAAACCATATGTTATGAAGGGCTGAGGGACTCGCAATTCCGAGATCGCTAGGCGTGAAACCAACTATGTGTGAAAAGGTATTAGGATTCCGTTTTCATGTGCTTTCATAGAACTCTTGGCATCATACGACAATACTAATTACGCCTCTTACCTCCTTAACTTTTTCCCAGCAAGATATAGTGGTATGTGGAAGTTCAGCCAACTTTCTTGCGAAAATTTTTAAAGTATGTATATGTCAGAAGTTGTGTATGTACGAGAGCGAGTTTTTTCTCACTATGGGTCTTTATTTAGGAAAACAAGATGTCTACCAGCGCAGATAATGATATTGTGAGTCTTTAACTTCCGCTATCGTAATGCGGGAAATAAAAATATACTTTTCGCGATTGAGATTTCTAAGGATAAAAAAATCTCTGATCTTGAAGAAGAAGTAAGAAATAAGCTGGGGCCAATCAATCTTATCACCTGGCTACTAATAGGTATTTAGGATTTTTCCCGCCAGATCTAATAGTATATAAATGGGTTATCATCCGAATAGCTAATACGTGACACCAAATTTATCCCGCAGAGAAACATATGCGGTCAGAAGATAGGATCTTTTTTCCTATTTTAACGTGATGAAGACCGTATCCACATTCGAATTCTTCCCTAATGAGCAGTTAAAAATTTTTTATTCGCACAATGTAATGGCGATGTAATTCACAAATATTATTTTTTATGTATTGTAAACTGGTTCCGGCAACGTTTTTTATTTCATAAATAATAAGTATCATTAAAAGTCACGTGTAATTACGCAATAGTGAAATCACCCGACCTGTCTGTGTTATGTACTTTTCTCCAGAAGTAAATTTTTTATTTCACATCAGTATCACTTCGGACGTCACACTATTTAAAAATCGTTGTCATTTTTTTATCCGAGCCAAATATCGCCATGTCAACTATTACTCTTAGCTGTTTGGTTGCAGGAGAGAACCTTTATGAAAATGCATTCACAGTTGAAATAGATACAATGAAGCTATTTAATTTTTTCAAGGACGTTATTAAGGAGAACCAAAAGCCTTTTTTCGATAACGTTTCTTCCAAAGAACTCAAGTTATTGAAGGTCGACATTTCCCTCGAAGAAGGGATGATTTACTTGAGGACTAGAAAATGCTTAGGTATAGTTTTAATGTTTTGACCCAGATAAAGGTAAATTATGTGCTAAGCACAAACAACAGGAAATGATTGATATTTTTTATAATGATTATAAAATTTTATTTATGATAGTAAATTTTAACACTAATGGACTATAAACTATAATAATAATTATAATAATTACAAAAATAAATTAAAATAAAATAAATAAAAAAAAATATCGGTATCATTTAGTTTCTACTTGACATAACCTCGGTAGTGAATATCTTCACTAATACAAGTTCTACTACGTCCGGCGTCGTTTACACAAGTCCAATATATTGAAACCCAAATATCATACCAAGTTCCTTTTGGAGGTGTTGGTAAATCAAATTCCTCATAGATTGTGTATTGCAGAGGTATATTTTCGCATTTGGCACAACCACAACCATTAACCCATCGAGGTTTATCAAAAAATTTATACCCACCGCCATTATTATCAACGTGCATACTAAAGTGGCCTATTGCTGATACTCCCAAATTGTCTTCCATATCAGGAGATTGAACTGTCATTTTAAGCATAGAATTTGGTAACAAATTGGAATCTATAACCTGAACACCACATTCTAAAAAAAAAAAAAAAATTGGCACTTTTTTTATCAGAAGAATTATGAACAATAGTAAATTAGAAAATTAACATACTATAATTTGAATTATTACTACACCCGCCACCAGCAGGATGACAACCATGAATTTTTTTAATGAAAAAAAATACAAGTAAAATGATGAAGTATTTTTTATTCATGACGAATTATGATTTTAATAATTCAAATGGTTAAGTGTGTACATTATTTATATTTCTTCCCAAAAATATCTTTTCTTATAAAGGAATAATGCGTGTGCGTGACGTTCTTGGCACAGGTCATAAATAATCGTACGGTTCACACATGGTTAGTATGTACGATTTAAATAATTCCCAATAAAGCGCATTGGCGATGACCCTTTTTTTTTTTATCACATGAAGTGAACAAGGGGTATATCTTTACTATTGATATTACACGACGAAAAAAGGAGTTCGAAATTATGTAAACTTTTAGTTCGCCCAAAATCACGTGTTTTATTTATTATTCATATAATTAGCCCAGTAGATCCTGCTTCTATTGGTTGGAAGTGAGAAGAGTCTTCACGATTATCATATGACACAGCATGTATCAGCGAGTACGTACCAAACTTAAATTTTGTCATATTTAGATTACCCGTTTAAAATTGTTTAAACATCTATTATTAATTTATTATCTGTCAATTTTTAGTTAAATTTTTGGATCAGTAAATCAATATGAATACCGATCATTTCTATTAATTTATATCATTTTATCATTACAGTAAATAATCTACTACCCCTTAAACTGCATTTGGTAAATTTTGCCCCATGGTATTCAATTGGTCAGCCAAATAAGGCAGTTTCATACTTTCATTTAATGATGAATGATCGTACTATGAAACCTAATCATTTCTATTGACTGACATTATGGGTCTGGTACTAAATCCTGACAGATACGAAAATCGTTATTGACTGACTGAAATTATCGTAGTTTTATTATCAAAATTTAAAGGATATTTAAAAAAAGCTATTATAAAATTATCTATAATATTCTAATTTCACATGATATTGTTTCATATGATAACATCTACTCTGTAAATTATAGCTATTTATTACTGAAATTAAAAAAAATTAATTAGCCCATTTGTCGATTTATAACTATGTACTCTTTTTATGATTAGATTGAAGGTCCTGAAAGTGTGATCCGGGATGATCCAAAGTATTCATGTCAGATATTTACTAATTGGATTCCGATATGGTCAATTTTTTTAAGATAAACCGCAATTAAATGTTTTTTTGATTTTTTTTCCTGATAACAATGGGGCTTTATTTTAAAATTATATTTTTTTCGTCGATAATAATAAGCCGCAACAGATTTTTTTAATAATATTTTTTATTTGATAACAATTGGGAGCAATGGATTATTTTTTTAGCATAATATTCTTTAATAATAATTTTTTTTTGATGATAACAATAAATTGCACAAATACATTATTTTTATCAAGTTGTTCTTTCATAAATCATCAATACATGTTTTATTTTTGTGATAATATAAATAAAACATCAAGTTTCCCTTCAATTAATACCATAATATAAGTCTTATGCAACATGTTAGCATAAGTCGTCAAGAATGGATCAGATTTACATCCATTATGGCGTCAAATTTTGGATAGAGAAAAACATATAATAAATCGTGAATTATTCAAATCACGGGATACCGGATAAATCACTTATTCGGCACTTCGAGCCAAATAACTATTAATTATTAAGTGCGTAATATAAAATTTGCCGTGAAAATGAGAAAAGGACAAACTAACTATTAAACTATTTAACCAACAAATAAATTATAAATACATACGGATATGAAAAAATCATGATCAAAGGATATAACCATTATTATCCGTTATTTCTGTAAAAACTCCATAAAAATGAGCCTTTCATGGATCCATTCACAAAAAATGTAAATAATTCGATAAATTCCGTGATATAAGGTTATTAATTCCGGAAACATGAGCCTTTTACAGAAAAAAAGATGGAATATAAAAACGGATCGACTTTTTTTACAGGAAGGAGATAAAATGATGCGGTTATATATCAAGATCAAAATTTCACAATAGTCTAAACTTCCATTTTATTCAGTATAGTAATTCTTCAATAAATACTGCAAAAAATTTGTCTATCAGTATTCACGGTAGAGATGCAAACTCTATCAACGTAACTGCCGTAACAAAGTCACGTCAATAATATCACTGCAGTCTGCAGATGCTCAATTTTTATAATATCGAGCTACGTCACGAGTGACGTAGCTAAAAAAAAAGACAAGGTGGTGTTTACTTTTATGTTTTGTAAGAATAGTTAATTTTTATATTTTAGAATACTTTATATCTATCTATCTTGCGGATATTGTTGGGTTAAAACCTATAGAATATATGAGATCTTTATATGCAAGATTCCTATTTCATATACAGAGCGGTGGTTTCTTATAAAAATTGCAAATATCGGACTCTATCTGGAGAAATTACTCAAAGAACGTAAATCTGTAAAAGAAAAACTATGCGAAAATGCAATTGCTGAAAAATGGTCGCGATTGTGTATTCAATTGGGTTCGATTCCAGGCAACACTTCTAGTAAAAATAATATAAAGTGCCAGCAAAAAAATGATATTGTTCACTTCAAAATAAAATTTTTCGTTTCTGTTTTTTTTCCATGTAATTTGTGTAATCTGCGTAATCTATGTAATCTACTGAGCATCGATGTTATTCATGTCTAGCAATCAAATCAATAATGATTATATTAGTTGCTCCACGATACGTTACATGATTCTTTGTGCCAGAAAAATACATGTTTGATTTTTGATTCTAACAAACTTTTGAATTATTCAAAAAAATATTATCGACCATGTAATCTGAGATCGATTTAAGACAATGGATTTTCGAGAAGGTAACTGGTAAGGCCGAGCTTAAGACTAGAATACAGAGGATAACGTTTTTTCAGCAAACAAACTCCGTCAGAGTGTACAAAGTTTAGGATGTGCTGGCAATTTGTATTCTAGTTACAATCGCCACTATTGGGCTTCCCTAATTCATGTATCGTGGCTGTGCTGAAGATCCAGAATATGGCTTATGTCGCATAGCCTCATAAATTTTAATTCCAAGTCTTGCTTATAATTAAATATTAAATTTCGTGTTAATGCTTTTTTTTTAAAAAAAAAAAAGCATAACGAACTAGATAAAGTAGCTTGCACGTAAATACGTAAATTAATATTCAGAATCATAATAAAATACAAAATCATGGTTTCAATAATAATTACAATAATGACTCTCCTTGGTTTGCAACTTTCTTCGGTTAATTCTTACGTCCCACGATTGCAGGCTTATAGAATTAGCCGAGATGGCGAAGCCAAACTTGATTGTAATGTTATTTGTATTATAAAATCTATTCTTATTTGTATTCTACTTTTATTATTCTTTGTTCTTACTGTAATAGTTTTATGGGATTGTTATATGAGAAAATTTAAAAAATAATAATTTCAAAGAATAGAAGAATGTTTGTTTTCTGTATTTTATAATTAGGTGATATAAAGTAGAAAATTGACTAAATTTACTTTAATTTGACCGACCACGCGGGTTTTTATTTTTTTTGAACAAAAATTTTTTATTATCTGATCACGTTATAATTTTGTAATTTTGGTGGATATTATATAACAAATATAACAAATATATACTATTTGGGTAAATTCAATACATATTTCTAATTTATCACGTGATATAATTTTAGACAAAATATAAAATTCGAGATTCCCTCACTATTTTTCATTCACATTTTATATAATCTGTAATAGTTATATCTTAAATTCTTAATTTCTCATATTTATCAAATATTTTTAACGTGAAAAGTTTCAATAAAATTATTATGGGATGGAAGATTTATTAAACATACGTCGTACCTATTACTGGATTTAACGTCTAATAACATGTACTGTACTAGAAAAAATGAAAGCTTTACAATTACTCAGTTAGTTATTTAATTTAAGAAGCTTTATTATTATTAATATTATTATAAACTTCATTGATAACAAAACTTTTATCTTTATTATAAAACTAAATGTCAAACACATAAATAGCTAAGAATATAAAAATGTCAAATAAAATACTGACTATAAACAAAATACATGTCTATATACCATACATATTAAATTTTACTAACAAAATTTATAATATCTTTGTTAAGATCTTTAATATTTTCCCATAATGGACAATGACCAACTTCTTTATAAAAAATAGTTTCAACATTTTGACCCAAAGAAGCAAAATATAGACTATGTTCCATATCAACTATTATATCATTTTCACCAATTATGTGTAAGGTAGGTATAGATATAGTACTATAAAATTCCGCTAAACTAAATGGAGCTAAAAAAAAGAAGAAGAGTAAGTAGAATGAATATAAATTCGAAAACTGAGAAATGTGAGAAAATCGAGAAAACTAAAAGAAAACCGATTTTTATACTTACTAATAACTGATAGACGATATTCTAAAGGAGCCACAGCAGCACTACCCAAAAATAAAAGTTTTAATTCATCACTAAATGGTTTATAACTATTTAAACTAAAAATTCCATCCATTCCAGAAACAACTTTAAACCAATCATCTTGAGGATCAATCAAGTCTTGAAAAAAAAGTGCTATTTTATCATTATCAGCTGCTTTACGTGTATTATTAACGAAACCACTAATTGACATGAGACCATGAATCATTATATCTGGATAATTTTTCATAAAACTTAAAGAAATAGGCACTCCAATTGACCATCCAACTAATACAATTTTTTTTTCTTTAAAATCATATTCAGAAGAAAGTTTACTAATCAAAGCGAAAAGGTCAGTAGCATGTAAATCAAGTGAGTATGAGTTACTATTATCAATATTACTCATATATCTAGTAAAAATGTCATCATTTAAATCAGTCGAGTATAAATTCATGTTTGGTTTATCACTATTACCCATACCACGATAATCATATCTTACAAGATGAAATTTTTCACAAATTTCAGGGTCAAACCACTGTGGATCCCAACTTATTCTTGATGTTAAAAATCCACTTGAAAATATAATTGTGGGATTTTTTGGATCACCTTTTTCTTCTACAAAAATATTTACACCATTTTCACTTGTAACATAATAATTTTTAGAACCATCATCCGCGGGAAAGGTGTATAATGGAACTTGTGCGACGGTTACTGCGGATACGGTGAGAAATGCAAAAATAAAACCCGAAAATAATTTAAATAATTTCATGTTTAAAATAAATATTTATCGGTTAAAGAAAAAAAAAAAAGATCTTTATTTATTTCTTTTTTATATAAAAATTTAATCGATTCGTTAAATGGATTATTAAAGGCTATGATTATTATTAAAATGAGAAACCGAAATTGGTTGTGTGTTGATTTATTTTCACCAAAATTTTTGTATGCACAAGTCCAAAGTAGACATTTCAAGCCAAATTTGGTTTATTCATTTACAAATTTTTAGAAAATGAAATTTCTGATTATTACAATGATAAATTAATTTTATGAATGATAAATTAGCCTATTATTCCTCAAAACCGAATAAGTAAATGACATGCTATAATTACCAAATTGGATTTGAATTCGTGTAACGTATAAAATTTTAAAATTTTTAAGGTGAGAAATTATAAAAATATTTTATGGTGCTTTCTGTTTTATCTAAATTAACCGGAATTCATCAATTTATTTCAATATTATAACTGGTACAGAGGCGCTTGAATTACAAGATGATGCTTGTAAATTTTTGAATGAATAAAACCCTGAGACATAATGTCCGTCTCATCTATACTAGCCGTAAACCTTATTGGCCTTCCTTTTATAGCATGTAAAATAATGTCACTAAAAGCCAGTGTAGATACTACTCTATTTGTTTAACAAACTATTGGATTTGATTATGATTATTAACAAGATTATTTAGCTAGCTATTCTTCAGAATCAAAATGTTCGGACTTGATGATAACGTATCCATATCCACGACCAATAATAACGATCCCGTTGAGAAAAAAAAACTGAAAAAGATCAAATTTAGCAAATTGTCATGACATTAACTTTAGCCATTTAACTGCTTAATTTATCTTCCCATAATTTACTCTTTAATAAGTCATACAAAGTCACTGAGACTGACAGAATTAACTTACTGATATTCCCCTTCCCCTTGTCTTTTGTTCACAATAGTAATAGTTATGCAAACAATTGCTCTTGAAAATGAATAATATAAATTTAATAAAGACTGAAGCCCAATTTCACACCACTTACTTACCAGCATTTCATCTGCAGGAGAGGATAAGGCCATTTTTATCTGTAGTACTTCGTCATATATGATTGGAAAATTTCTGTAAAATTTTTTTTAATGTCCTTCATAATTTAATTACAATACCATCTAATGCTGGTATGACCCACATTGTAAAATATTGAATATAGTTCACTAATAATTATGTGTCTAAGCTGAAGGATTAGCCTAGATATGAGAGCCATTACAGTTTTAAATTGTTTAGCTAAATTAAAGAGATGTTGAAGAAAGAGTAGCCGTCCAACAATGCAACTCATTACTGTTTTAAATTAAAATGAATTAAATAAAATAAATCAAAGCCTGCCCTACAAGTCTTTCTGCTTCTTTAGATTGTTTTTATATTATCTCTCGTCCAACTTGCTGCAAGTTCCAAGTCATTAGAGCTAATACTATACTGAAAAGCAACTACGTATAGATAATTTGACATAATGCTTCAAAACATAAGCAAGTTTCGCCACGTCCGGAAGTACCTAGAATAATAATTGTATTATTATTTGCAAGATTTTCTTTTATATGCAGAATCATAATCATTAAGGCCTCTTTCACTAACTTGTTTAAAGAAAGGTTACGCAGAAGCAAATTAGCAAATTAGGTATTCCATTCACCATTAGATATTTTTCTCATCAATAAATTTTTTGTAAATATTAGTGTCTGGTGCTTTAAAATGTGAGTAAGTCATATGCAGTTATGTCTTGAGAAAACTTTATTTAGCTTCATTTGTTGCATCACTAATTGATTTCGTTAGAAGTAGAAATATGAGTAAATTCGGATATTCAATATTATTTCAGAGATAACATATTATGTGACCAGACTTACCGTCAACAGGTTGATCTATGATAATGTGAATGCTGGATGGTTTGATGGTAAGAAAGGAGAAAGAAAAGCACAAGATTAAATAATCGGTATTGTTGACAAACAAAAAATTATGCTACATCACTCTAACTTTTTATAATTTCATACCTCCATTAATTTGTTCAACCAACTGTACGATTTTTGTAGCTGGTCCATATAGCAGCCAGGATCACGAGTTCATTTAAACTAAGGAAGGCTTCGACAGTGAATATCATCATCTTCAAGCTTTAATCTAACTCTATTTCTTTGCAAAAATATTTTAACATCATTTCGATTCCAATCTTTCGTTACATCAGCTGTCGGGAGACGAGAGATTATACGTTAGACATGGATATTTTTTATTTTCGAGTTAAAAAAAAAGTAGTACGAATAGGAAAATTTTTTTGGGAGTATTGAAGTGTATTTATATATTAACTAATTAGTAGCCACATATGAGCTAGACTTATTGACCTTATTCATGTACATGAAAAATAATATTTAGTTTTTTTTACTAAGAAAAATATATTTAATAGTGTATTTGTGTAAATATTAATAAAATTAATAAAATTTAAATTTTAAGGACTTTAAAGGAGCATCCGAAGCAGTCACATTATTTGTAAAAATATTACAAAAATGTATCACTAAATTTAAAAAAAAGTAACATACTAAATTCCTTTTTTAGATAAACTAGCGTCAAAAAATGTGCGTCCACAGCAATCTTTGCATGTAAACAAAAAAAATCATGATTGTTAAAAGATGCGGAGTAACAGAGTAACAATCAGCCAGAGTCAATATCAATTTTTGGGGGATTATACCTTTTTTGGAATAATATGAATTATTTACTACGGTTTCTAATATAAATAGTTAATTGGTTAGGTACCGTATTTTATTGAAATTAAGCACCCTCGAAAATAAACACCCCATAAACTTTTCAAAATTTTTTATGCAAGTTTATATATATATTTCTAATAAAAATAATATCAAAAATAAGCACCACCCCAAATTTTCGTCCATAACTCTTGCAAATTGGGGGTGCTTAATTTCGATAAAATACGGTATATCAATATCAGTTATTTCAAGATTTACCACGTAGCATGAACCAATTGGACCATCACTCGATATCACGTGATAGAATTTTGTGACGTACAGAAATCTAAGTAAAGGTTCATAGAGCATTATTAACTCGAATAAAGAAAGATGCTGAGGGGTAATGATGTTATCAGGTACTAACCATAATTATTTAACACTTTTATTAATTTAGATAATTAATATAATGGAGTAATGCCTAAATGTTTGTCATTATGTTTCTGATTTCTTTGTCTTAATTTTCTTCTAAAATTCTGATGATATTTGTATCACCATTTCCTATTCTCAGGAAATTTGGGCAGATCCAACAACTTTACACATTGTGTGATTAATTCATAGAATACCTTCTCGATCATATTTTGAAATTCTTGAAACATTGTGTAACAAAATAACGTAATTAATAGAAATATTCTATAAAATGAATAAACATTCCAATGGTTTCAAAATGTTTTTTTTTGATACTTGAAAGACGTCAAATTTCTAAAATTGGTAATAGATAATGTTTACCAATTTTTAAAATCATTTAGATGTTTCAAAAAAAATTTATTATTTTTTTTATCCGACTTATTGTGTATATATATATACTGTATTGTGTGTATGTATGTATGTGTATATATATATGTATGTACTTTATATATATGTATATACTGTATGTATGTACTTTATATGTGTACTTTTATATATGTACTTATGTACTTTGGAGTACAAACATCCCATTTTCGTAGAAAAAGAAAAATCTTTATATTTGCTTATCTGGAAGACTATTGAACCTAAATATCAGTTTCCCGTTTTTTTTTTGTACAACGCTATCATATGTATTATATGTGACCCATAATTAAAGTTTATAAAAATGTATAACATGAAAAACAAACCTAATTAGGGCTAATATATATCACAAAAAATTAATAAATGGTTAGAATCAAACCAAATAAATTAAAATGAAACAAGAAAAAAAAAATGATTTCTTCCCCTTTATACTAAAAAATTTGACATCAACATAAAAATCAAATGAAAAGACAAAAAAAAAAATACAATCAAAAAGGACTCTTAATTTAATTTTCCATTTTTGTCAGTATAATAAAATAATTTTTGAATTCATTAAATTTTTTTGTAAATAAAATAATTCGCGAAACGTTTCATCTTTGTGTGACTTCGCAATTTACTTTCATAAAGTCCGGAACTGCGCTTCGGAATTCACGTGATTAAGGAGTTTCGATGATTCCAAAGAATTCAAAAAAAAAATCATTATACTTAAAAGAGAACAATACATAAGGAAATTACAAGCTTATTATTAAATGACTACCTCAATCGGATTGAATTCATTAAAAATGCTGCAGAATCTTGAACTTGTTATCCCCAAAAAGGTTGGTTTAATGATAAGTCACATGACAAAACCGTAAATATTAGCAGTTAGAGTTTTTTTGAGTTGCCAAAATTGCAAATCATTAAAAAAATCTTGATGGGCTAAAGTTTAAACATTTACACAACCCATGCGTTTTACTATGTTTGACAAGCACCTTACTATAATGCCGTGAAACATTTAGAACAAAGATTTCAAACCATAAATGAAAGCCACATGGGTTACAAATTATTTGAATTACTTAGATCATTATCCAAAGAGTTTTTTTTTTTTTTTTTAAACAAACAAACACATATCTTTCTTTACCCAACCCTTGACTTTTCTTTCAACAACTTTGTTGAGTGACGTCGAATCTTTTCGTTTTTTATTATATTCTTTTGTTGTATGCGTTATAAGTGTGTTACTACCTTTAAATACTTACTATATAATATATAAAGATTTTCCCTGACAAATAACCTATTTTTCCGTTTAATAAACTCGAAGAATTTTATAACCTTATCGCTATTAAAGTATCTTTACATACGTTTTCAAAGTAAGTCCTTATTCGTCACCTTTTGTTATAAGTATAGTAATTCCTTGATTTTCTAATCTTACTAATTTATTATAATATAAGTTATATATATATTATTTATTTATTTATTTATTTATTATATTTTATTACTCCTTGTGAGTATTGACAACTCGATTTCGAAAGTGAACAATTTCTTTTTTATAGTAAATCATAGTTTGACTCAGAATTTTGACTTAATTTGGGACAAATTTTATTTGTTTAAAGAAATTCATTAGATTAACCTTTTTTTATGATTATATTTTCCATAATTCTTATATATAATTTTAACTTTTTCAAATTTTTTTAAATTTTTTGCAAGTTTTTTCGAAACTGACTTTATAATTTCTTATTATATAGGTTTATAATATATTTAATTTTTAATCAATGGATGAAGCTCGTAGGAATAACGTTAATCGTCGAGTAACTCCAATGGCAACTCCAAAACCAAAAGCTCCTCCTCCACCAAAACCAAAACCTCCAAAGTTAGCTACTATGGTATCTAATAAAGTTGATAGTGATCCTATTTCTTCTAAAAAAGTAAATACAAATGGTCGTGGATCAAACGTTCATAGGTTATCAAGTGTTTTTGAGGATAAAGATGATAAAAATCTAAAACCTCGTATGGGTCCATCTCTTCCTTTATCACCAAGATTACCTGTTCCAACTGTTACGCTTAAAAAACAAAAATCATTTTCACGTGAAAAAGTAGTAAATAATAATTTAAACCCGGAAATTGATGAAAGTACTTTGGCATTTGGTGATATTAAAGCTAGATTTCAACAAGCTCAAGTTTCAGATGGAACGGTAAGTGAGTTACATATTTATTTATACGCTTATGTAGTTTAATGTTAATGAAAATCGTATAATCTTGTAAATATTAAAAAATTTATATACAAAAAATTAATTTATTAATTAAATATTTTTTTTTTGTTGTTTTTTCTTTTTTTCCTTTACCATCAAAGTTACCGAATCCTTCAAAAAAGCCTGCCGCACTTGCTGATCTTAATAAAACTACGAAAAGTACAAAAAGTACGAAAAATACGGAAAGATCACAAATTACGAAAATTACTTCAGAAAAGAATACGAATAATGTTAATAAAACATGTACAAACACGAATATTAAAAATACTAAGACGATGAATACTAAAAAACCTATAAAATCACGATCACTTGATCCTATATCACAACCTGATCCTACTCCGATAATAATTGATGATGATGATGAAAATTTGAGTAGGGAATGGATAGATGTAGCCGATCACAATTATTTATCAGAGATAGATACTAAAAAGACAACAAAATCTGTTAGGGGTACCTCACAACCACCGCCAGCTAAAACTAAAAAACCAAAACCTTTAAGATTTAATAGTAGTAATGATGTAACTTCAACAAAAAAACAAGTTTCTGAAGATTTTGAGGCAAAAAGGGCAAGCATAGCTAATTTACTTGCTGTATCAAATCAGTCTATACAGCGTAATTCCGAGCATAATTTTGAAACCTCAAAGGCATTACCGCCTACACCCCCTCCCAAATCTCCAACTGAGTCATCATCATCTCCTACGCATCTTAGAATTAGTGTACTTCCTTCACCAAATAGGCCTAAAAGTCAAATATCGCTGCCAGGTACTTCAAGCGCTCCAAGTGATCCTGAAGAAGATGAATATACTAAAGATTTTAAGAGAAGAAAAAAATTATGGAATGTTATAAAAGAACTTGTAGAAACAGAAAGAGTCTTTTTCCAAGATATGGTACTCTTAGAAGAGGTAATTATTAATTTATAATTTCTGATAATGATATGAAATACCTATCCTAACTAATGACATTTTTTTTTTAGGTGTATTCAGTACCTGCACAAGAAATTCCGATTTTCAACCGTTTCGACTGTAAAACAATATTTAGTAATTTAGAAGATGTAATTGATTTTTCAGAAGATTTTTTAGGTTTATTAGAAAATGCAGCTGGTATTGAAGGTCCGGATGATAATAATGTTGATAAACATTTAGAAAATGAAAATGATAATACAAGCATAGGAGCAGTATTTATGCAGATGGTATGATTTGATAAAGATGTGAATTTTTATAATTCTATAATTAATAATTATAATTAATAATTCATAATTTTAATTAATAATTCATAATTTTAATTAATAATTCATAATTTTAATTATTTTAATTGTTAACAGATGAAGAGAGAACAAGGTAATGAGAGCAGAATGGAAGCTGTATATAGTGAATATTGTAAACGACATGAAGCTGCTGTTCAAAAGCTTCAAGAATTTGACAAGGACGAAAACGTTCAAGGATGGCTTCAGGTTATTATTTTAAAAATTTTTTAGCTTCCTTTTTTTAGTAATTTATTTATTTATTCTTTTTTTCTTTTTTTAGAAATGTAAAAATCAATGTGAGGGTCGAACAAGAAGTTGGGATATATCAAGTCTTTTAATTAAACCAGTACAACGTGTATTAAAATATCCGCTATTACTACAGGTATTTTAAATTTATATTGTATCATATCAATTTTATTATAAATTAATTTTTAAATTTTTGTTACATTCCATATTTTTAGCAAATTGTATCGCTTACAAACCCTTCACATCCAGATTTTGAGGAACTTAAGCGTGCTTTTTCTGAAATACAAAATGTTGCTGAAAGGATAAATGAGATTAAACGACGGAAAGATATTGTAGAAAAAATAGTTGGTAGCAAGAAAAAAACCGATGCCGACGTAAGTTTTTAAATTGAATCTTTTTTAAATAATTCTTTAAAAAGTTTATTTATATTAATACATATTCTCTCTCTCTCTCAAATTTAATAGCTTGTGTTCGTATTTTTTTTATATATATATATTTTAATAAATAATCATCATTGTTTAAAATATAAAATTTATTAATTTATTACATATTTGTTTTAATAGTCATGGCATAACAAAGTCTATAACAAGGAGAGGACAAATGGTATGTTGAATAATATATAAAAAATGGTTTATTTTTCAAATTATTTGACATTCATAATTATTAATTTAATATGTAATAGATTAAACATGCTACTGGCATTTCCAAAGCTACTGAAGATGAACTTTACAAGTTTTATTTAGAAAAGTTTAAAAATTTGGAATTACAAGGACAGCAATTGTCCAAAGATATAAAAGAATGGGTGAAGGTCGTTAAACGTAGGCACAATTTTTTTATTATAATCAAAATTTGTATTTCATACATGTAATAATAGATGATATTGACATGGAATATACTTTGTTATTAGTATATTTTGAAGATCAACAGCGTTTGGCCGAAACTTTTGAAGAACTCTATATGCTTGATAACAATGACGTCGAACATAAAAAATTGGTGGAATATGTAAAAGCTATTAAAGAAATTGCACCAACACATGGAAAAGAAATGGTACGTTTATCAAAAATTGGTTATTAATTAATAAAAGTACAAGCATTGTATAATTTATTTTAAAATTAATTTAGGAGGAAGCAGTCAAGAAAAATATATATCCGCAGATTGAAAAATTTCTGGAATTATTTAAAGCTCCAGCTGCTGTTATGAAAAAAAGAGAGAGAAAAATTTTGGATTATGATAGAGCAATGTCAATAAAAGCCAAAGGGGGAACAGTAAGTTAAAATTTTGAATATTTAAAGATTAATCCTTTTTTTTCCTTTTTTTTTTTTAACATATTTTGTTAAATGTACACATATATATTTTTTTAAAGCTTGATAAACATCTTCAACAATCCGCAGATGCTTTTACATCGATTTCAGCACAATTACATGAAGAGTTACCTAGTTTCTTTAAATTAATAACACAATATTTTGATATAATAGTGCAAGAATTTATTAAAATCCAATCAAGACTTTACCAACAAATAGGAATGGATTTTAGACAATACTTTTGTAAATTTGTAGATACTCAAGCATTGGAACATGTCTCCGAACGTAGAGAATTAGTATTAAGAGAAATGGATATAATTTTAGAATATACACAACATTATCATGAAGATTTGGGGATGGATGATGAATTAAAAACTTTTTATTTATTAACTAGTCCTACAGGTAATTAAAAAGCTTAATATTGATTATTAAAAAAAAAAACTAGGTGCACTAATTTTTCCTACTATATTATATTAGGATTAATATCTGGTCCAAATTTAAATGATAATGGAAGGGGAAGAAGCCCCGGCAGTAATTTGTCAGATTCATCAGGATCTTCAAGGAAAGCTGATAATGTTCGAAAACGTTCAGGTAACATATTAACTTAATATAACTCTTTAAATCAATAATAAATTATTAAATTAATAATGGATTAATATTTTGTTATCTTTCAAGTATCTAAAGATCCTAAAGATCACAGAAAAGCTGGATGGTGGGATGAGAACGCAGGTATATATAATTTCCAAAATTCCAAATTGAAAATTATATTATCTTAATCAACCGTTCACATTATTATTATCTTTTTAATAGATCATCGATTATCATGGAATTCAAGTTCCTCAAATACATTAAGGAATTCTTTAGAAATCAATGAATTTAATTTCAATTCCGTTAAACAAAAACAAGCCAACAAGTATTCATCACATAAAAAATATGCAACGGATAGTGCAGTTGAAATTAATAATAACAACAGTGCATTAGCAGATGATGATGGATTATTTTTATGTCGAACAAATTATGTAAATAAGAGCAAGGAAAAAAATGAATTAAATTTTCAAAAAGGAATTTTATTAAAAATCATACATATTCATGATGATGGAGAATGGTGGTTTGCAATTAATGAAGATACTAAAGAAAGAGGTTGGGTTGATCCTGCCTTTGTTACAAGACTTGATTGATTAGGTATTTAATTTATAAATTAATATTACTGAACACTAATTATTTTTAAATACCCTTCATAAAAAAAAACATTACTTACAAAAAATAAGGTAATTTCAGTGGGATTGGAAGGTTTGGGTTGAATGGTTATTTTAGGGAGGAAATAATGTTTATTTTGAATTTTTATAAATTCAACCCTAATAAATGTACAACATCAAACAAATTATTATTATTATTATTATATCATTATAAATTTAGAAAAAAAAAGAAAGAAAAATGTCCATCAGCGGAGATATTCGTGTCGTCGTCGGTNTTTTTTTTTTTTTTTTTTTTTTTTTTTTTTTTTTTGGATTATGTATATAGTACTTAGATGTGGGTAGTATTTCTAATTCTGTTCTATTTTTTTTATAAATTTGTATATTTAAAAAAGTTATTATATATAACAGAGGAATAAATGGAATATAAGTTTACTCAGTGTGTAATATTTACTAATAAGAATTTAGTTTCTTAGTCATTATATGAAAAAATTAATGTCAAATTGTTATTTATCATTAGATTTATTGAGTTCAGTTTCGGTCTCATAATATTTGTGACCAAAATGAAAAATAAAGTTATTTTTATTTTTATTTTTTTTTTTTTTTTCGCCAATCATCTGCCAATTGAAACTTTTTCCGTTTTTTCCTTATAAATCTCACGTGATAATTTATGACCTTAAAAAAATTTTTTATTTTCATGTTGAGTCAACTTTAGAAACCAACTGACGTGAAATTAACGCACAGCATATCTTCAGGTTTTTCTCAAAAATTCGTACGAATATTGAATAAAAAACCTGTCGTAAATTATGTAAATCGATTATGTGATCAAATGGAATTTTGTTTCAGTATTTTCCCAAAATTACCGATGTTGACCAACCATGACCAATCATGAAATCAGACCTTAATTAAATTTATAAATGGAAAGATGTCATTTTTTTTTTTATATTTTTTTTTAAAAAAATTTTCTTTATAACAATAATTGTGCCTGTGACTTTTGATATTATTATCAAAGTAATAAATTAATTAATTAAATTTTTTTTAAAAAAAAAGATGGGTAAATCATCGAAAAGATCGAGAAGAAAAACTAGAAGAAAATTAAACCCTTATAATATTTATATGAGGGATGAGATCGCTGCTATTAAAGAAAGGGATCCAAAAATACCTCATAGAGAAGCTTTTACTCAAGCCTCAAGAAGTTGGAGTACATCGTAAGTAAAGAAAATTTTTTTTCGATTTTTTTTTTTTATATTAATAGTCTTTTAATGTAATAGAATGAGAAATCCAAAGAATCAACTTTCGAATAATCAGGGAAAAATTCCAAGGAATAAATCAAAGAGACGAGAAATAATTAAAGAGAAAAAAGCAAAAAAACAAACGAGAAAACAGGTGATGGATCAAAAGGAAATTCAAAAAATATTAAATAATGATAAATCCAAGAAACAAGAAACAATATTTCAAGATATACTTCACATGATTGGTGAAGAATATACTGAAACTGAGGCTGAAGCTGAAACTGAAGGTAAAAAAGAAAGAGTCAATGCTAATGATGATATTGATGAACTTGATGTTGAAATGAGTGAAACAAATGAAAATGAAGATAAAAATGTTGATAATCAACATCAGACAGTTATTACTGATGCTGATGTTAATATGACAGTTGATGACAAACTTGATGTTGAAACGGAAACGAATGCTAATGAGGAAATGGTTAATGATAATAATAATGCAAACGATAACGATAATGTTGAAACAGAAATGATTGAGAATGAAGAAAATGGAGAAATGGTAATGATGAATCAAGATAATAATGATAATAATAATGATGATAATGGTGATAAAGCAGAAATTAGTAAAGCGAATCAAATGGTTGATGACGAAAGAGATAATGACGATCAAATGGTTGAGAACGAAGCGGCAGAAAATGATGAAACTATTGGTTCAGGAGTGAGCGAAGGAAATCAAGCGGCTGAGAATGAAACTATTGGCTCAGGAGTGAGCGAAGGAAATCTGGCTGAGAATGAAACTATTAACTTGGGAGTGAGCGAAGGAAATCAAGTGGCTGAGAATGAAACTATTAACTCGGGATTGAGTGAAGAGAATCAAGCTGTTGAGAATGAAGAAACGATTAAACCAGGACCTATGCATGATGTGAAGAAAATTATTGAGAAAATAACTGATATTGAATCTCTTAAACATAGCGATATTTATAAAGTTTTCGAGAAAAATGTCTTTATTTGTGATAGCTGCAAACGCCCATATTTAGTAAGGAACGACCACACACAATAGTATCACGTATTTTTGATAACCATTTATTATATAACCTTATTATATATAACTCAATTTATCATTTTTTTATTTTTGATCTGCACGCTCAGTTCGTTCAGTAGTAGTACAAAAAAAGTTAATATTGTTTTGTACTTATCTTTATATCTTAGTTGCATGATATACTGTATAAATTTTATATTTTAATAATAAAGTTTGTTTTTTTGTTTCTAAAAAAAGTAATTTTGTTTAAATTTATATTTTTGAAACATGATAACCATGATAACTCCTGTACGTCCGGAAAAAATATTAAGACGGGAATTTTTGTAATATAAAAAAGAAAACTTGGCTCTGGGAATAAATATCCTTTTTACTTTTTTTAAAATTTATTTATTTTATGACTGAAAAAATTCGACAAGATTTAGTTAATGCCGCATTTGATAGAGCACGTGAAAACGCTCAAGGATATACAGCTATTAAACAAATAATCCTTAATAATGAAAATCTCAGGAATGCTGAAAAAAACGAAGCACTAAAGTTTTTAAATGAAAAGTATGATAGAAAAAACATCCGTTCTAATAAAGGAACAAAAAGAACTTGTGAAAAATGCGAAGAAGAATGTTCTGGAAAATTATATTGCGAAAATTGTATTCGAAACTATTTAAAAAAAAACTTTTCAAATTGGACATCTGGAAATAAAAATATTGATACTCTAATAAAGAAATGTCAAATAGATACACTTTCCCCAAATAGAATCATTGAATGGATTCCATATGACAAATTACAAAATATTAAATACAAAAAAAAAGGTGGATTCTCTGACATTTATGAAGCGGAATGGATTAACGGAAGATATTATGAATGGGATTCTAAAGAAAAAAAATTAAAAAGAAAAGGAACTAAAAAAGTAATACTTAAAACATTAGAAGATAATAATAATGAAGAGGTATGTTAATTTAGTAAAGAAAATAAATGAATTTTTATTTTCAAATATAAAATAATTTGAAACAATTTTAATTTTAAGGCCGAAATTCATTTAACAATGAGTAACAAATGGGGTTCTATTGTTAGATGTTATGGTATAACTAAAGATCCATCAAAAGGTTATATGCTTGTAGAAAACCGAATGGATATGGATTTAAGAGAATATTTAAAACACGAAGAAAAAATTACGTGGGAAGAAAAAGTTAAAATTATTTATCAGATAATTAAAGCACTTGGTAAGATTCACAAAGAAAAAGCAATTCATAAAGATTTACATTCAGGAAATATATTATATTCCAAATCTAGGAATTATTGGTACATTAGTGATCTTGGACTTTGTGGACCTGCTGATAAACCACCAAAAAGTATATATGGAAATCTTCCTTATATAGCACCTGAGGTCATTGCAGGAAAAGAATATAGTTATGCATCTGATATATACAGTATTGGTATTCTAATGTGGGAAATTTCATCGGGACAACGACCTTTTGCTAACTTTGAAAATGATTTTGATCTTGTAACAAGAATTCTTGATGGCATGAGACCAAAAATAATATCAGGGACTCCTTTAGAATATATAAGAATAATGAAACAATGTTGGAATGCAAACACAACTGAAAGATTCACAACTGAATCAATTAAAAAAGAAATCAAAAGAATGTTTCAAGATACACCAAATGAATTAAATAATAATGAAAAAATTAAAATATTAAGTTTCGATATATGTCACGAATCAGTTACAAGTAAAATTCATCAATTTGAAGGTTTATCCGAACCAAAGAATGCGACTGAAGGTATTTTATTTGAAATATATACATACTGTATATATTATATACCATATTTTAATAATTATTAATTTTTTAAATTTTATTGAACAATAATAGAGGAACAAGAAGGTATAAATATAAATTTCTGCTTCATTTTCATTATCATAGTATATATCATTTACGTGAATATTAATATATATATATTTAAAGCATTCCACAGCAAGCCATACGACTTCAGTATTCCCCAAAACAGTAAGTAGTAGAAAAATGTTTATGAATCGATTTTTACGATTTAAACTTTGTTTAGACATTTTAATATCAAGCCGCAATAACTTTTTTTAGTCAATTTACAAACTCTTATTAGACCACTAATCTTCTTTTGATTAATTTCTAGTTGAAGATTGGAATAGATCAGAGTCATCAGACGAATCAAATAACAGTACTTCAAAAATCATTTTACAATACGTATAATTATCATTTTATATTACATATTATAAAAGGATAAATGTATCATTTTGGATATATATTAAATTAAGTCACGATATATTATGTTATTTATTTATTTATTACGCAATAGCTAATAAATTTTTAGTAGTCAAAATACAAAAAATATGAAATAATATATCTGCTAATTTAAGATTACTTATAAATATTTATCACTAAATGATTTAAAGTCGCCATTTATGCCAATACAACAAAAATAATCTTTGGGTTATATATCAATAGGCCGAATGGGTTTGTGTATGATGATCGAAACGACGAAACGTAGTGATTATTTAAACAAATATAAAAACTCATGTAATAATGCGTGAACGTTACAAAATAAAAATAAAACCATTTTAATAAAATTTGGCTTATTATTGTCGTTGTGCTGCTTGATTGGCTGCCTGATTGGCTGCATTTCGAATTCTAGTTTGTTGTTGTACTGCTTCAATGGTTTGTGAAGTAGATAAACCCCTAAAATCTGGTCCTCCACCATATCTATTTCCTGTGTAAACCGCTGTTGTACGAGAAACGGATGAACCAGAGACGAGAGTACTAGAATTGCTAGACCTAGAAGAGGTGTTAGACCTCGCACTACCGTTAGAACCGACCAAAGTAGAGGACGAACCAGAAGAACCAGTTGATGACATTTTAACGTTTTTTGTTAATGAATTAAAAATACTTATATTTCTTGAATTGATAAAATTTTGGTTTTGAGTTGTTATCTTGAGTGGTTATTCTTCAGCTTTTATAATGAATTGTGAAAAGGGTTAGGTAACATTAGATTACCTATTTTATAAATCGATGACTCTTACTATGACTCACATCTTATCATTAATCTTTATTTTGTATCACCTGATTAAATTTTAAATGAGTTTATCAAATATATCAATATTATCATTCAGTTTTTAAATGATGTACGAAAAAGGGTTCTTTTATATATAATTTATTTTCTGGCGATAGATTCTATATATAAGCCCACAATATTTTAAATCTATTAACATTGTTTATTTAACATGCATTTCAATTGGTTAATACCATATTTCCATCAAATATTATCTATCAGCCGGTTTCGAATTTGTGATCAGCGTGATCATTGACATAAAATCGCGTATTACGGTCACCGAAAATTGCTCACGAAGAGGTTTTTACAAGTATATACTGTATATACCCTCAAAAAAAACTTTCAATTGTTTTTTTAACTTACACTTGTTCACTCTTGTTATCAATATCATCGAAATGGCACAGTCGTTCAATTGTTTTCTAAACCCTGATGTTTTAATTCCAATTCCTTTTTCTATGGCGATACTGGAAAGTTTATCATGCTGGTGGTCTACAACAAAGTTTACTTGAGCGGATTTACTGTTGCTTCTCAAAAATGATATTTGTAGGAAGGGAAGTGTTAATTTTAACAAAACGTAACTTTAATGTCAAGAGAGGAGAGATTAAAGATCAAAATGTTTCTACCGAAGAAGACATTGTACAAAAACTTGACGGAAACTTCAAGAACTGTTTGAAGAATATTTTCAAGATGAATTAAATTATAAAAATTTTAAAGGGTCTAACATCCACGTCATCGCCACCACCTTCACCACTGGTAAGTGTCTCCCAATTTACAAGAAATTTGGTGACATTGACTAACTGATTCATTTCTTCCTCTTTCTTCATATACATTTGACTACATCAGGTTAACCAGAGTGGAGCATTGCATACGATTATCGTTTCAGACGTGGATACGTTTCTCTCTCAGTTCAGCAAACTTATTACAAGAAAGCTATTTTTAAGCCAGATAAAGTTCATCCTTACTCTGATTCCATCCGAGATCTCCAAATCCCCTTAAATCTCAAATACAAGCAAAGACCTTTCCTCCTCATGAGTGATCTTCCTACAACAGATGGAGATGATGGGCTAACTGACACACTGATTTAGAAAATCGTTCAGAGATAAAAGATTGTTTAATAGTCTTGGGAATTTCTGGCTCTGGGAAGACAAGGACATACAGGTCTTACAAAGGAGAATCCGGGTTCGCGTGATCTTTCCATGATGATTGATCATTTACTTCTAAGATTGAAAGATTCATTAACTCACAATGATAGCCTATATTCGTAAGGATGTAGTCTTTTAATCTTTGCTGGACTCGTTGGCTTAACTGAGGATATTTCGTGTGTTGCCCATTAACTGCTCAGAGTTTATTATTTTTTTTTGTGTATCAACTTCTAACAAATTGTGATCTGTGTAATCACTAGACAACACATAATTAATTGGTCCAAGTGGCTTAACTATGAAGCCCATGTCGCAAGATCAAACCAATTGTCTACTTTGTAATAATCACACGGAAACAAATCACCATTTTTGACGATGCCCAACTTTGTTACCTATCATCCAAGACGTCTTTACACATTTAGCAACTGTCGCACACGATCTCATAAGTCGAGATGCGGATAAACTCTCACTATGCATCACAGACTCTATCAAATACTCTAACACGTTCAGGTGGTTACATACGAATCAACCCCCTTCCGAGGAAGCGCTCCTTTTGATCAGGTCTTACGTGAGCCACGACCTGTTCCACATCTTTAAAACTCATTTCAATACGCAAAAACGCGCCCATACAGCGTTGATGGCCTTTCTGCATACATCCATGATTCAAGTCAAATCCAAATTTGGAAACACCTTTCTATTATATGGAACAATGTGGAATTACCAAAGAGCAACTGTTTAAAGACTATCGTCGCCCTTCCTCACCCGACGTACTCGGACGCGTCCTCAATGGTGTTTTGAATACTGTAATCCATATCTTGATTTTAGAAACTATAAAAATAGCACTGATCTTTTATTTATTCTTTTTCTTCTTCAAACTTTTTACATAGCGGTACATTTTATCATCATCTATATTTTAGCTTATCTTCAGACGTTTAATCTTCTTCTATAGAGTATAGACATGTTCCCTTTTATGTTTAGTAACCCACTACTAGATAGGTCCTTTTATTTCTTATCTATCCTGGCTTGGTCGGAGTTCCGGGTAGTTTTTTATAATTCTAGTAGGGATCCGCTCCAGTGATTTTTATCGTTGGTTTGGACGAAGTTCTATAATGTTTTCCGCTACTTGTATTCCTGAACATAAAAAAAATAAAAATCGTGATCTGTGTAACAATCGGACAAACACTCATGAAGTCGGAATAATAAACATTAAAAAAAAATGTCAACCCTGAATCCACCTTTTTTTATACTCAAATATTTTTTTTTAACACTTGTAAACTATAACCAAACGCAAAAGTCAAACCAAAAGTTATAATACAACTCTCCCTACCACTGGAAAAATTATTCCAGAAGTACATTATGGACATTTTTTTCGGGAATAGATAGCAACTGAAAACAATATAAACGATCAGGAAACACTATTAATTCCAATAAGGTTGGGCATACAAATACTTCAAAACTCAATAGTTATGACTTTATTATTACTGTTTTGGAACCAAATATAGAACCAAATATAGAAATTTCACCCGGTCCAGCAAATTGTTATTTTATAAACAAATCAGAATTTCAAAAAATCAAGAATGGAACTATGCTGTAGATGGATATCAGTCATCTTTTATTGATAATGTTAATAAAAACCAATTTTTATATGTTCAAAATTTTACTGCTAAAAAATGAGAGAAAAATTATTTGTGGAAAATCTCTGGCAGATGTGTGGTCTCAAAAGTAGATTATAAACCAGGAGTTGATACGAACAAATTATTTGGGATTTACACAGGCACTAATCAGCGAGCTGAAAATTCCTTCATGTACACTAGAAGAGTGGAATAATTTACATTTATTACAGCAAATATTTGAATATCATCTAAAGAAACGAACAAAATCTGATGTCAACTGGATGGGGTTTATTGAAAATTGGAAAAATCAACAAAGTGAAATCATTGAATTGCGAACTTCTTTGATGCACCTATATGGATCTGAATATAAAATGAAATCGCGTGAATTTTGTGCCTGGAAATCAATGCTTAGGCATAAGGGTTGTATAGAGTACACCTTATAATAAAGATCAATGTGAGGTGACAAATAGACATTTTAATACTAAAAAAAATATTTATCTAATTTGAATTTATATTTACAGTTTGAATTTTGGACAAGATCAGTAAATTCAGAAAAGATCGTGAGACGTTACAAATTTTACGTGATCTTGGTTTTCTTCATCCTGCACCAAGCTGTGACCAGACTGGAATTTTATGGAATTGTATTTGTGAATCATTAAATGCAAATAAAAGGGGTCAAGATGGAAAGAGACACATTTTGTCTATTGTTGCAGATCAGTTTTCACGCTGTGAAATTAAAAAAAATTTGAATGTTAGTAAAATTTTCATACAAAATTTAGGTATTCAATTTAGATTGTTTTTATTAGATCTCCTCATCAGATACAATTATGAGTGCACGCAAATATGTAAGAATCCATGGTCCAGGTGCTGAACGTGTTGAAAACCCTATTTTTACATGAACAACAATTCCACGTGAAAAACTTGATCAGATGCAACAATGAATGATAAAAACAATGTGGTAATGAGTAGCTATAATACGGAAACTAAAACTGGACTTCCAGTAAAGTATCTCAAATATACAAAAGAATCCTTGTGGGAAAAATTCAGCTACCAGTTTCTGAATGGTGTTAAAAGAACATCTTTTATGACGTTCTTGCAAGGGAAACAATATATTTATCAAGAAAATCTTGGTGGCTTGCATGAGATTTTTGTAGAAATAAAAAATTTTATTGAAAAAAATATTCAAAACAATAATCTTCAAGAAAAGCTTTTTCAATTCACTTTATTTATATATTACAAAGTTTATTTATTTGTTTTTGATTTATTTTTAAAATGACATCTAGAAAGACTACATAAATAAACTTGAGCACCTGCGCTGATATCTTAAAAAGTCTTACGAACAAGGGCCTGAAATTGCTGTGAATGTAACTGTAACATATTCTCCTCTCTTATCAAATTTATTTGATTTCTAAAATTCAAGAAGCTGGAAAATTGGTTAATATTGATCCAACTCCGTTTATTACTAAACTCACTTCTCTTTCATGTTGGTCCTTTTCTTCTACAAATTGGTTTTCCTATGCTCTCATCCGTGGTTGTTTACTCAGGCTCTTTGTTGACTTATTTGTCGATTTATCTATTCCAAGAAATTCTGCGATAAAGATTGTCACTGCTATCCATAACAATTTTGTTCAAAAATTCAGAAGACAAATTTGGAACCCGCATTCTTACGAGACCTATCAATGAGAAAATGTGATGAACATTACTCATAAAATGAAAACTACTCCTAGGCCATCTAATTTGCTATTGTCAACGTACACATCTTATTCATCTTTACCACCTCTGACCTTACACGATTCACGTGACTCCAAAACTGATTAGTTGAAGAACTCGATAAAATATGGTTTGCTTTGGTTTAATCACTTTTCGGGTTTTATGGGTCGTCTAACGGTGCTACTTAATAACAGCTTTTGCAGGATGGAGTGTCGATTTTTATAGTGGGCACACTATTCGTTATTTTGTTAGCATAGTTGCTTCTACTTTGGTTGGAATATATCAAGGAGGAAGATCTGGAAAAATTTAGTGTAATGTGATTTTTCTTTTTTTAGATTAATTTTTTTACTTTATCTTTTCTTAGAAGACTATAGGCCAGTTCATAATTGTTCGATCAGCATTTTTGATCGGGTTACACTAAAATTGTGACAAATAAAATTCACCTCGAGAATGATCAACTAGCCAATTTTTTGACTCACCAAAAACATAGATCGCTATGATCAAGTTGATAAAATAAGGGTAAAGTACGCGTAAAAACGTATACTAGACGCGTTTTTTCTTTCTTATTTCCTCTCTACCAATGGAATTTCCAAAAGATCCTTTAAACAACCCTCAAGTAAATATTTCATATAAAAATAACAAGTTACTAAGGCCTATTAAGCCTAGAAATTTATACCCTTCGCCTTCTACTGGGATTTGTGAACAAAGTAATGTGGATTTATACCAAAATCCCTTACTAACAAGACAAAGTTATGTTTCTCCTAGTTTTTATATACAAAATGGAAGCAGTTTTGGCCAAAGCTTTTCTGGGCCTAACTATTTTGAGAGAGAATCTGCAGAGTTACAAAGATATCAAAAAGAAAATGTTGTTGATGATAAAGTTTCTGATGTAGAAATTAATTATCAACAAGAAAAAGAAAAGATTAATGACGAAAAAGAATTAACAGTGAGTAAAAGTACTTTATTAATTTTTTAGTTGTAATTTATTTTATTTTAATTAAAATTAATTTAGGATGTTAACTACAAAAAGAAATCTAATAATAAGCATAAATCTAGTAATGAGGGCGAATCTAATAACAATTAGCAAGTCTATGAAGTTGATATTTTACTTCAATACATTGCAGATAATTTTGATGAGTATACAAAAGGTAATAAAACTAAATTGTTTAATGAAATGTCCTTAAAGGTACTAAAAAATAAAGAGCCTAATGCTATTAAAAGCAAGTTAGCAAGTATGATCAAATACTATGGTGAGGTTAAAGCTCATAATGAAAAATCTGGTGTAGAGAGAAAAGACTGGGATTGGTATGAGAAAATGGATGCTATTTTTGGTACTCGCGAAAATATAGCACCTTCTTTTATAGTAAATAGATCTACTGATATTGATGGCGAAGAATCTTCATGTATGGAACCTAAAACACCTAAAAGATCAAAAAAAAATAATGTAGATACTATTGCTATGGCTATTTCTACAATGAGTGAAAAGAATTATCATTACAAGAAATTGTTGACGTTGTAAAGGGAACAAATTGAAGAGGAAGAGGAGCAAGATGAAATCTCTACAATAGTTGTGTTAAATAGCATTGAAAATGTAATTAAATATATTCAACAAAAAGATTTAGAAATTGGTAATTTAGAAATGAAAAATTTAATTAAATTGAAAAAAAGGATCTTTTTTGATAATATAAATGAAAAAAGGCAAAGTAAACCAAATGAATATTTTGATTTTAATGTATGACAGATAGTTCAATAAAATTTTGAAAATTTTGAACGAAAAATCACGTGATTTCTTGGTATTTCAGATTTTTCATATATTTTTATATAAATCCGGTTTGGCGAGATTTTTTCAATATATCAGATGTCTTGATATATCAGATATTTTTACTGGAACCAACTGATCTGATTTATCAAGATTGCCTGTGTATCTACAAAAGTGTCCAAGCCAGCATCCTATAAAAAAAAGCAATGAAAAAGAAACATTAGTTCGTTTCTTAAATTTAAAATAAAAAATTCCTCCTTCTCCCTTTCCCTATTTTTTACCTTAAAGTCTGGTTCGTTCAAGCTGGCACCTTATAAAAATAAATAATGTAAAGCAACATTAAACCAGGGCCCCGAAAAATACATAAAAAGGTCACATTTGAGNTACTGTCTCTTATACACATCTAGATGTGTATAAGAGACAGAGATAGTGCTGGCCTAAATTTTATTGTCCGTTTTGATACTGGCTAGCATTATCATAATTCCGGCCCTGAAAAGTTGCTTATTTTAGGCCAAAATCTTGCCGATCATTTATGACTTCCATATGTATTTTTCGGGGTCCTATTAAACCGTTTTTTAAATTAAAAAAAAAAAGATAAAAAAAAGTTCCAACTCTTTGTCATCTAAAAAAAAAAGAAATATTAGAAAACATTTCTACAAAGTTAATTTTAAAAAAAAAGTCCTCACCTTCCAAAGCCAAAATGAAGCCAAAAGGAGCTTATCTATGTACTTACAGACCGAAGCTGAAACAAATAAAATGCCATTCATGAAAATTTTTTTTTTTTAAAAAAAAATAAAATTGTGTATTTATTTACCTTTATCCAAGAAGAATCAAAGTCAAAAAAAGGTTTAAATATTAACTTTTTTGACTAGAGACGGACCAAGTCGATTGGAGTATATATATTAGGATTCATACTAGTATTAAATAAAAAACTAACTTTATTTATTAATATTGCGTCAATAAAATTTAAGATTAATACTGTAATTGTTATATAATTGAACTAACTTTATTAATTCATATTGCAATTGCATCAGTACAGTACATATAAACAGATTAATAAGAATATTAAATAAAATCTGAACTGAAATTTGATTCAGTTCTGGTTCGGTTTTTTTTTTGACCTGAACCGGAATCAGAACCGAATTTTTAACCCAAATTGAACTGAATTTTACGGTTTGATTCAATACAATTAGATATCAATATCAGATTATCGATTTTTTTTTAGAAATTTTTTTTTACGCCTACCTCTTATTTGTCTTGTTAATTTCATCCTTTCTTCCTTCCTGTTAATTCATATTTTTTTCTCTTCTTTTAGGGTTTCATTTCGTTGTGACATTTTACGGAAAGGTCTATTCCTTTCATTTCAGTTTTTTTTTGGTTTCCTTTTTCTAATTTCATTCGCCTTCTTACTTTTTTAGGTTTCCGGTTTCTTGAGGCTCTTGACGGAAAGGCAGGTACTTTTCAGTTTTCATTTTTTTTTTGGTTTACTTTTTCAAATCCTAACATTTTCTCTTCTTTCTTCTTTTAGGGTTTCATATATTTGTGACATTTCACGGGAAAGTAATTATGGGATTTTTTTCTTACTTTTTTTTTTGTTTTGTTTCATTTTTTTTTTCTAAATTCGTACCCTCTCTTCTTTTAGTCTTGGAAGAAAAAGAAATAAAAGACAATGTTCTATTTGTAAATCATGGTATCATGATTCACAAAATTGTTCTAAAAAAAATGAGTGTAGTAAAGAAAATGTTTAGTCCATGTATAATGGCTCGAATTACTTCTGTAAAATATCATGAAATTTTCATTATTAAATTTGCTTAAATTTACGTTATATATATTAAATTTACATAATCGAAAAATCACATGACATGAGAGTATGAATATCCCGATCTATTCCTTTACCACGTCCAATGCTTCAAAAACAGCAAAGTAAGGAGAAGCAATGGCATAATTGGAATTTTCTGTTATCCATGCCGCATGAAGGATGCCCAAGAGCCTTTCCTTCTTTATTCACAACACTTGCTCCCAAGTCTCCAGGTACGAAGTCTCCAGGTTTGAATTCGAATATTAGTTGTCGATCAAACCACAAAGTAGGATAACATTGCTGGCGCATTTCATTGATTTTTTTGACCAAGCGCACAAATGAATATTCTTTTGTCCACGTCGTCATTATAAGAGGGGATTTTTCCTTGTTTTTTTGCGTATTCAACGTTTTTGTTTCTTAGATCAATGGAAATAGCAGAATAAATAGGGACCAATTTTCCAAAAGTAAGACCTGTAGCCTTTCCTACTTTAAAAACATCGATATCAACAACGTCATCAAATTCTTTAAATTCGTAAAAGTCATTTAGATAGATGTCTTCAGAAAGTTTTTCTTTTTTGAAGTCCTCTGGGGAAATTGAAAATTTGTTTGGACATAATGTACGATTGATGTTACTGAAAATACAAAATGCAGCATCGATGCCAAAGTACTTTTCATTTATTTTAGAGAAAAAGTTGCCTCGGATACCACACTCATAACACGCTAGAGCTGATTTCTTTTTATCCTCTTCGATTTTGTTACACATTTCTTCTGAAATTTTATGTACGTTTTATTTACTCTTGCTATTTCAACAAACGACTCCTTCAAATTATCTAGAACTTTATGTGAGGGCTGATAAATTATAACATCCTTTCCAGTGCTAGAATCGCTAAACCTACATATATGCTCACATGAGCGGATACCAATTTGTCTTGAGTTTTTACCATATATGACAGCACTGAAAGTTCCAGACGTCCCCTGAGATTCAATTATTCCTATACTTGACCCTAACATAACATTCTCCTGATAAGATTGGCAAGCACTTGCACCAAAGCCATAGGGAGTTGCAACGCATGCCTCAACAATATCTGTTGGATATCCACGAATCTCATCTGGAATTCGACACATCCACAACGCAGAATTCCCTTCTGGCGAACATATAGTATGATAGCGGGGACTTCAGTAAACTTGCCTTGAGTTCGCTTATAACCAGTGCTCATGCCGACCAAATTATAATGCATTTTACGGAACGATGGGCCTAGTTCATTGCCTAATGCTTCATCAAAAGCCTTTTGTAATTTTTTTGGGTCTTCTTTCAGGTTGGCAGTGGTTTTGTGGTGGAATTTCGGCACTGACAAACCCTTCTATGAAATTAATTACTTGATCTCTGATCTTCTCTGTCTTTTCGCTTTGACGAAGGTAACAACATAAATACGCCAAGTTGTATCATCTTCTTTAAGGTTTTGACCCCAGAATATGTTCACAATGTTGTCACTCGCATACAACTGGTAGAGGCGACTCTCGAGACTATCACTCCAAGGAACCGTTGGAAGTTCGGGTGGTTTGATAATGATGTGAATATACCCTTCAAGCGGTTTTTCAGTGAAGTAGCTACTAATTTCCCTAAAGAAGTTGATCCTCTTTACGAGGTTTAAGTTTATTTAGTTCCTCGTCACTATCACCTCGAATTTGAACCTTCCATAACGAAACCTGATCTACAGCGAAGAAATTAAACTCGGGCGTTTTTTTCATCTTAATAACTTCCTTAAGTTGACCAATACTCTCATTTTGGTCAATTTTCAATGTAAAGGCTTGAGAAACTGTGATTCCTTAGACAAGTTCGATAGTATCAGCAGACATTTTTATTAGTATCAGGAAAAAAAGTTCGATAGTTATCAGCAGAAATTTTTATTCGTATCAGGAAATTAATTCTAAACTAATTCAAACTTTGAAACTAGTAGAAATTAGTTCAAAACTAATTTAAAAGATTTAACACATAAGTTTGTAGAAAGTTGTAGAACAGTAGAAGCCGTATTACGCGGTCAAGGACAGTGACACAAGATCCTAGCAATTTGATAGGATCTACACGCGTGCGGACGGAATCATTATTAATATAAAAAAAACCAATAAACCATGTCCACACAAGTCTCAGCCTCTCAGACACACAAACATTAGACGGTAAGTTATCCTCTCGGCACGAAATTGTTTTTGTCTTTTCGGTGATTATAAATTTTCCTTTCTCACCAGGATTCAACTAAACGATCCTGCCTACTTTAAAACTGACCTCGAATGGTCTTTGATTAATTTTTTACTTTACCGCCAACAATGTAGTGACTTTCTGCCTAGCAAATTAGCTGAACACGATCGATATGCTCGCAATTTAACAAACATGATAAACTGGGAGAATGAACCGGTGAATCTAACGGGCGAGCAGGGCGTTTATTTCATTCCAAGTTAAGTATTTTTTTTTTTTACCCCATCACGCCAGCTTGTAGTGGCTGTTCAATATTCGGCTAATTTGATTATTACTAACTAAATAATATATCGTTAATAGAAAGAAAAGAAATCAATGTCAATTATGGAATTTTGGGAGTCTGCTACGTCAACAGAAAAACGAAGTTAATGGACGTACAACGTTGATAGTATGGTACATTTGATCTTCCAGAGTATGATGTGATAAAAATATTAATATATTTAGTTTATTATACTGTAGGAGGAGCATGCTACCGCCGTTGTGAATTTAACTTCTCAACAAGACCGAATCATACGAGAAAAGTTCACCAAGACATCTCGAGAATTCGGACACAGATGATGATCGTTCACACAAACGTCAACGTGGACAACAGAATGAAGACGAAATTCATCAACCCGCTACTCCGAAAAATAAGGTAGTTGCATTTTCCCGTCGTTTTTATGTATAGCCAACAACGCTGTCTTATGTTTTAAGTGGGCCCATTTTTTTATTTTAATTACCAGCATAATTCTTCGTTATCATGATGACCTGTTGACGAGTGCTTCTGGAGAATCAAAAATAATGATGAAACGTATATGTATAGAAGAAATAAATCATCAATTTCTCCCAAAAGTCTCTTGGCTTCTTTCATCAAAGAGGGTATCTATATCAGATTATACTCTGGAAATTGTATTCATGTGCATATTACATCTCACCTTGGAAATGGAAAAGAGTGTATAGTTTTTTTGGCACAAGTACATGATTATGAAATAAGGGATGCCGTTTTGAAGGTAAATTAATTCCTGATAATTTCTCATACTGCGTATAATAAACTTACCATGTGGGTCATTTTTTTATCTAAAGATTCTCAAATTTATCGTGAAATATCAACGTTGCATGCACTAGGTGATCTTTCTTGCGTTCCTACAATTCTCTTCGAAGGTTATACAATGAGTGGATCCATGGTTTTACTAACCGATTTACCCCTGGAATCATGGATTTCTGATAACGATAATATAGATGATTACATAATTTTCCAAATAATTCTGGATCTATTATTGTGCTTGGAGAAGAACATGCCCGTGGTTACACGCATGGAGATGTGGCCATACGAAACGTTATACAAAGAAATGGTCATTTTTATCTTATTGACTTTGGCCTTGCAACTCTGTTGCAACTTCTCTCTAATCCATGTCAAGCATTATTCGGGACTACATCGATTTGGTCGAATCATTGGAGTTATTAATAGATAAATTGGATGGAGAGTTGAAATCATTTGTTGCAATTATCGAGATTGTGAGTAGGTGGAAAATAATTAACGAAGAGAAGTGGTTAGAAAGGTTTGGTGCTGAAGTTAAACAACTTCATGAGAGAGGCCATCACTTGCCTAGAAAGGCGTTGCTGGATATAACAGAAATTTAATAAATAAGACTGAATTTGTCTGATAGTAATGTTGACCGTGTCATTTGCTTGAGACGATCGTTACTGCGCCACATTACTGCGTGTCCAGATTTTTCATTTTTGGGTAGTTATGCATTGTTCGCATATCTTTTTAACTACATCTTCGAAATTGATATGCAATACTGTGTAAATTATTCTAAATTTTTTTTATCTTTCGCCTCGCAGTTCAAAAAACAAGGGGGCGTGCAATTTTGACGAGCCCGAACACGGTGTCCAGAGTTGTGACATGTGTCCAGGAAAAAGTGTCTTCTTTGGAGTTGTATTTCAAATATGTATTAACAAAGCATTGGTATATCTTGACTTTATTTGTTAACTCCATACTCCGTAAGTCAGATTGGAGTAAATAACCTTGAAAATAGCCAATTTTACTATGCCCTTTTCGCTTTGGTTACATAATTTTGCACTAGTGCGCGTCTGTCACACGGTCATTTTATATTAGTAAAAACAATGCATTTAATGAGATAAGTCATAGTAGTGTTGTAGGTATATGAATATGACAACGTCACTACCGCGTGAAAAATGTTTATTCAAATTAGTAGTATCATGTGCGCCTAATACAATATGGAGTAAAGTGTCCTGATAATTCATTAATCCCTCAAATTCATGCTTTTTAATTATTTTTAATTCCCTGTTTTCCTTGATCTTGTATAATGAGCCGTCTCTTATTAAATATCCTTTTTCTTTTTCTATATCTTTACATATTTTAGATCAAGTTAAAGCGGAATTTGAAAATTTAAAAAAGAGACCGAAAAATTAATTGCATTCATCAAAAATAGCGAAATGGAAATCGAAAATTTGAAAAAAGAAAATGAAAATCCATGATCTAATAAAAGGAACAAGTTTGCACTATTTTATATGATTGAAAAAAGATACAAGCTTTCGCTTTATTCAAAAATTATAAAGAAAAAACTTTAACGGCATTTGCACGCGTTTTCACAGGTAAGATGCATCATATAATATTAATCAAAAATCGATTATTTATTACCATTGCACATAATGACAGGTGCGACAAAAACATTACCAGTCCGTCTTAACAACATTACACAAGTGACAAGTCACAAGAATGATAATATTTTTTCTAATTAAATTTCACATTAATACTTTTGTAAATGAGAAAAAAAGAAACTGGCTCATCTAAACTAATAATACATTGGACATGTTAAAAAAGGTATAAGAAAGCTGCCTCATAACTAAATTTTTATCATGGTTTTCATAGAAAATTTTCTCGTAGTGTTTTCGTAGACATATTTTTCACATTAATATTAATTAAGAAAATGTGTATTGCGGTAACAAATTGTTTTGTAACCTATACATTTATGGAAATACTAGTTTGGATAATATAATAAACTTGCTTTTATTCTGATGATTATAAAATTATAAAATAACAATAATTTAATATTTTATTGAGCCACTGATCACAATATCAATTCACCATCTAATAAATATCAATCCAAACCCCGATCAAAAATCCGTTCAATTAGAATTGAAATTATCAAATGGTATATTCCTAGTATTTTAACATTATATAAGCTCTCTCTCAGTAATTCCCATATACGTTTTTTCCCTATCAGTATTAACGATGGTTGATCTAGAATTTTAATAAACTCCAGAACAATATCATTTAGAATTTTTAATTCTTCGTTCTTCTTTTCATCCAGGAGCTTCTGTTCGTACTCCCAGATTTCTTGTTAAATACTACATCGATGCCGATCAATGCAGTTTTCATATAAAAAATTTAAAACTTACCAAATTGTATCACATTGAATTGACCTAATAAATCTAACAGATGCCCATACAATTCAAAAAAAGGAAATATTGTTCAACCAAAAAGTCCAGATTTTAATTTGTTGTACTTTATAAATCGGCTATCTTTGAAATAATGATCGTGTAACAATTTGCAATATTTATTTACCGTAAGTTTTTTTCTCATCAAGGTCTCTCACTGAACAATATGCGCGTAAGTATAACATTTTCATTTTTTTTTTGGAGCACCTTAAGTTTAAATAAAATTTATATTAATCTGATTGTATATTATAGTTAACACAGCAATGTATTCTTGCAATTGGAGATACAGGAAATGGAAAAAGCTTTACAGCAAATATTTTTGGTGCGAATGCGAAAGTTGGAGATACATCAATATCCGAAACTGATGAAATTACAATTTATAATATTAAAGGAGGCTTCTACATTGATACGCCTGGGTTTAACGATACTGATGAAGAAAAGAAAGATGAAAAGACTGTGCATTTGATTTTTCTAAAGATGATGGAGTCGAATATTCAGAATATAACAACAATCTTATGGTTTGTAACACCTGATATCAGAGCGAGAGGCTCTTACAAACGTCAAGCACAATTTATAGAATCATTGGCTAAATACCATAAAGGGAATGCATGGGACAATACCATCATCGTCACTAAAGGTGACCAATCTAGTAATAGTGATGGTCCCCGTGATGCTGCCAAAGAAATAGCCCGAGATATTTCAAAAACTGGCGAGTTTAAAATATTGTTATTAGAAAGTTTACCACCTACAAATATTTATGTTAAAGGGAAGTTCCAAAGTGATGAATTAAATGAGTATGGTGTTTTTAAAGCATCAGAACCAGAACTAATCCTTGCAAAGTATGAATCATTAATGAAGGGACATCTCGAATGTCCAATATGTCTAAACCTTAAAAAAGTCAAGTGTTCTAAATGTTGTGAAGAAACTGATCCAAGGTTAGCATTTCCTAAATGTCATTTGGAAACGGAGTCATTTCATCCAAATACAGAAAATGTTCATAACGGAAATGTTATAGATAATCATCCATTTTCCTATTCTTATAAGCATTCTGATCGTTATGTTGAGGCTAGAACGAGATATGATTTTGACCATAGTCCTCCTGCTTGGGTAGTTCGTGTCGCTACTATTGGAATAGTAAATCCTCACTGTCCTGCGATAGAAAATGGATATTGGAATTGCTGTCATAATAATGATGCTAATTCACGTGGATGCAAGGCTTTTTATCCATGTTGCGGAAATGATATCCATTCTTCTGGATGTCAAAAAATTTATGATGTGTGTAGACACAAATGTGAAGAAACGGGTTGCCTTACAATTTGTAAAAACTGTAAAAAGAAGTTGGATGAAAAAGGTTGTAAAGAGAGGTGCAAGAATTGCAAAAATGAAAATTCATGTAATATAAAAGGGTGTATCGAAATACCTCATAATTGGCTTAACTAATTATTTTATTTTTTTGATTTTAATATCATAATTAGTTACATTATTTTTATGATATAAAAATACGTTTGTTAGACCCTGTTTTTTTGGCGCATTCAAGCCATTCATGTGATGTTAAAAGATTATCACTGTTTTCAAATTAGTGGGACTCCTGATCGTGTAACAATATGTAACTCACGAACTGTTCTAATAAAACTTTTTTGTTATGTTTAGTTTCTTGTAATTTCTCGCGATTTTATAAATTTTTTACTATAAACCATGTATTTACCAAGTTTCAGGTACAATATTGACTAAATAAAAGTTGGTTTTCAAGCTATATATTCTTCCTTTTTTTTGAGATTATCTAAATTTTCTTTTTGTAGATACTATTAGAGATACAATGGCTAAAGCTATAGCAGAAGATCTCAAATGGCACGTAATACTTTTATATAATGACGGATATTCAAAAAAACAAATTGCTAAATTACTTTACATTGAGTAACATTAGTCAAAAGAGTTCTTCGTATATATGCAAAATGGGGTTGTGTTGTAAATCCATGGCAACGTGTACCAGGACGAAAAAAAGTTTTTAGTAGAAATGACATGTTCACCTGATCTCAATCTAATTGAGACTGCCTTTACTACAATCAATCAATTTTTAAAAAGAAATCAGTATTTTGTAGACGTTAATTATAATCCTATGTATCCTTTACTTATAGCTTGCTCTCAGATTACTCCTCAAATGGCTATTTTAGAGAATCTGGATATTTTTAAAAACGTTTTTATAACATGTAAAATAACAAAAATTTAGTTATAAAATATAGAATTCAATTTGTAAATAAAATAGAGTTTTTTTTTAGAAATAATGAAATGTCAATTTATTGTAAAAAAACATAAACAATTTCAACAATGTCAAAATTTATATATATTTTTTAGCAGCATCTCAAGAAGAGATGCCAGATGATTTGGATGATGGATATAATGGATACGGTAGATATAATAAATATGAATGATTATCATACTGTAAGACATCATGTGCCTGTTCATATTTACTTCAAATGAAATTCTGAACGCTGAGAGTATTTTGGATTTTTTAAACAAATCTACTGAGAAACCTTTCAGACTCAAAATAGACACATACCTTAAATCTCTTGAATTGATTATGAAAAGTGAATACGAAAAAAGATGTGACAAAGCAAAGTTGTTATATGATGATTATAAGAAGGCAAGTAAAAACCTTTTTGCTGAAAGTATTTAAATATGTGGTATGTAAAGCTCTAATCAGTCCAGGCCTAATCTGGCAATCTGGACCAAAAATTAGGATTGGTCCAGTCTGAGTTGATGCTTCAATCTGGACTAAAATATTTGATCTGGTTCAGTCTAATCCAGGATTATAAATTTAACCCGGACTGAATTAAACAAGTTGGAACTGAACTGGACTGAAAATTTGCCAAAATTTTATTTGTATTCTAATTCCATAATTCTGGCTCTATAGCAATCTTCCTGTCATATATAGTTTCATTTTAAGCCTATATTCATTTTATGTAATATTAATGCATAAAGATGCATAATTTCCTTATATAATATATATGTTACATAAAGTGAATATAGGCTTAAATCGAAGTTATACATGTCAGGTAGATCATTACGAAGCCAGAATTATAAAATTAGAATACAGTTATAATTTTGGTAAAAATTTTAATTTTGGTCACGTAATATTATAACAGCCAATCAGAATTTCAGATTTTTTATTATAGGATCAGACCGGACTGAATTAAATAATGGTCTGATCTGGTCCAGTTCTGAATTATCTTTTTAACATAATTTGGATCAGATCAAAATGAAGCAATTTTTGGTCTGGTTTTAGGTTACTTCTCAATTCAGACCAATCCAGACAGGACCCCGGACATCACATATATAACTCATAACTGATCTGCATGAATTTAAGTACTTTTTGCTCCTGCTAAAATAGACCTAATTTGCTAAAAATCAAATTATCACATTTCAAATCTATACAGTGCGGTACCTCTATAATAGGTACCTCTTATATCTTGTGATCTAATAGTCAGAATTTTATAAAATTTTAAAATTAGATAGCTTTTAAAAAGATAAATACATTAAGCAAATAAAAAAATTTTCACAATTTTTTTTGCTGACATAATACAAAATCACATGACTTAAAATAAATTTGATTGGTTAATGCAATACTTAATGTTAAATAGAATTATGCATAATTTTATATATATAATTTATAATTATTTAAAGTAATTTGATTAAGTATATTATCAGGATCTTTTCTATAGGATTTATATTTTTTTAGCAAGTTTTCCTGTAATTCCTTTTTGAGAAATAGGTATAATATAATTTGTAATAAATAAAAACTACTAAAATTTTTTTTGATTTTTTTTCAAAATTTTTTTAACAGAGTATGGGTAAGTTTATAAGCTAAAATGATTTGTTTGAATAAGCACTATCAAATGATTATTATTTTTTTATGTTACACAAAAATCACTTATTCTCAAATTTTTCCCATTATAATAAATTACCTGAACTTCAAACTTATATAATACTAGCAAAATTTATTATTTTTTAATCTAACCTGATAAGTTTAAAAGCTCTTGATATGCTTTATTAAAATTATCGGTTAGAATTTTAAAATATTATTTTTTGCTAATGTGACATTTTTTTGAAAATGTCACATTATAACTATAAAATTGGGTTGGTTATAGAGGTACCGCACTGTACTAATTTGCTAAAACTCAAAATATGAGTTAATAATCTTTTCTTTTATTATCAATAAAAAAATAAATGATTAATATAAATTAAACTGCCAATTTTTATAATTAAAATATGTAGATTATAGATAAAATAATAATTAATAAAAATAATAAATTAAATAAATAATTATTAAAAAATAAAATGTTGCGAAACTAAACGAACAGTTTTTGGCCCGCATTATGCTTAATTTTGGCTGGAATTATACTTAATTTTGGCCAAAATATAACCCAGACCCGAAACTAATATTTTTAAAAATATTATTTATAAAGTTAAAAAAAAGGATAAGTTAAATTTAAAAAAAAGTACCAATTTGCTCAAATATAAAATATGACTTTGTAAAATCAATACAATTTGCTAAAACTCATAATTATGACTATTAATTAATTTTCAATCAATTTGCTCTATCTAAAATTATGAGTTTAACCTAATTTTGATTGAATTTGCTAAAACTCAAATGTGAGTTATATATGTGATATCCGGGGTCCTATCCAGACCATTTAAAATTTTAGTGGTCAGTGGTATAGAAAACCGAAATCTCTTAAATTGTTTATCATTCAAAACTCTTAATTGAGTCACTAAACTAGTAATGAGACACAGATAACCTTCTAACTTGTTTGTTGTTAAAAGACTTTTAGTCAAGACCCATTAAAGTACAGATAACCTTCTAACCTTATCTGATATTTTGATGGAATTAGAAATCAAATGAAAATCAATGAAAATTGAAAAGAGTTTTACTAACTTCAAAACATTTTATTCAAGAAACTTTGATCTGATAAAAAGAAGGCGATTGATTAGAATAAAGAGTATTTAAGGAATCAAGTTCACATCCACCAGCAAATTTCTGGTAATGAAACTGTCTATAGTAGAATCACCAATAACAGAACAAATAATTATATTGCATCAGGTAAAAATGAAAAAGAATTGGTAAACCTTTAATTGTAATTAGCATTAAGAATAACAAATTTTTTTTAATTATGAATGTGTTGCAAAAAAAATCTTCAATACACAGATTATCTCATTCAAGAAAACATTAATTATGCAGAAATAGATAGTTCAGATGAAGAGAAGAAGTCAAAGAAAATAAGAAGAACTAATTCAAAATTAGCAGAATCTTCACCTAGAACCCCATTGCAAACTCTGTGAGACTTAACTTCATTGGAGATAACTTCCAATAAGCAACTGATAAGTAATGAAGAAATTCTTCAATAAGTCTTTTTTACTATATATATTTAATGAATGAAAAGCAATCTAATAGTGTTTTACAAATTCCTCTAGATATTCTGAAAATATATCTTTGATATGTACATTTGATAAGTCGATTGCCAAGTTGATTCTAGCAATTAGTGTGAAGAGGATCCCGTCTATTAAGATAGGTCACCCTGTGGCCTAAGGTAAGGTTTACATATAAAACTCTTTAAAGATCCTACTATAAAAGGAAATTTTATGTTATATTGTTATGATTTTTTTCCTTTTTAGTTAATTAACCAATAGAATTTAAGCAAATCCTAAGGTAAGGCTTTATATGAAAGTGAAATTTCTACTGGTAATATATCTTAGTAGTAGGCAGGGTCCTGTGTGAAGCTTGCAAATAAGCTTTTTTCTGTATGCGATATTAACTCTAAAATATGGATATCTGATTTAGAAAATTACATTGACAATGTCTTGGAAAACAATTTAAAAATGCTACATTAGTTGATGTTCTGGATGACCTTTTCTGATTGTACTGTAAAAAAGTTCTCCTTGATTTATAAGTAAATGTAGAGACTTGTTGGTTAATTAAGAAAAAAAAATACTGACAACAAAACTTTAGCTACAATTTAGTTGATATTAACCTTACAATGAACAAAAAAATAGGTAAACATAAATATATAACTTACCAAATTTTGTCAAATTATAAATATTATGAGAGAATATTCTTTAACCTCAATTTCAACTGAATCAAATCTTATATCTGCTCTACAAGAATTACAAAATCTGTGACAAATTCAGGAATTATCAAGGTAAATTCTTTTTTTTTTTTTTTTTTTT